CCTCAACTTCCTATTTTCCAGTGAAATAAGTGCCAGCCTAACCAGCCTCTCCTTTTAACTCAAACTCTCCATTCCTGGCAACATCATGGTAAATCTTCTCTGAACCCTCTCCAGCTTAATAATATCCTTCCTGTAACTGGGTGACCAGAACTGGACACCATAATCCAGAAGAAGCCTCGCCAATGTCTATTACAACCTCAATATAACATCTGACCTCGTATACTCAAAGGTCTGAGCTATGAAAGCAAGCGTGCTGAATGCCGCCTTAACCACCCTTTCTATATGTTACGTGAGTTTAAAGAATTAAACCCCTAGGTCTCCCTGTTCCACAACACTACTCAAGGCCCTACTTTTAATTGTATAAGTCCTGTCCTTGTTTGTTTTACCAAAATGCAATAGCTTGCATTTATCCAAATTAAACTCCATTTGCCACTCTTCAGCCCATTGACCCAATTGATCATGAGCTCTATGTAATCTTAGATAACCTTCTTCACTGTCCACGATACCACCAATCTTGGTATCATCTACAAACTTACTAACCATGCCTTCTATGTCCTCATCAAAATCATTTAAATAACAAACAAAAGAGGACCCAGTACCAATCCCTGTGGAACACTGCTGGTCACAGGCCTCCAGTTCGAAAAACTGCCTTCCGTCATTACTCTCTATCTCCTGCCTTTAAGCCAATTTTGTATCCAGTTGGCAAGTTCACCCTGAATCCCATGTGATCTAACTTTACTACTTAGTCTACCATGCAGAACCTTGTCAAAGGCTTTACTAAAGTCCAAGTAAACAATGTTTAATGTTCTGCCCTCATTTATCTTCTTGGTTACTTCCTTAAAAAACTTAATCAAGTTTGTGAGACATGGTTTCCCTCACACAAAGCTATGCTGACTATCCCCAATCATTCCTTGCCTCTCCAAATGCATGTAAATCCTATCTTTCAGATTCACTTGCAACAACTTACCCACCACTGAAGTAGGACTCACAGGTCTATAGTTCCCAGGTTTCTCCTTACATCCCTTTTTAAACAAAGGCATAGCATTAGCCATTCTTCAGTCATCCAGGCCCTCACCTGTAGTTATAGATGATAGAAATATTTCTGCAAGGGGCCTCACAATTTCCTCCCTAACTTCTCACTATGTCCAGTGGGACACTAGATCAGGTCCTGGAGATTTATCCACCTTTATGCTTTCTAAGACATCCAGCACTTCTGTAATGTGAACTGTTTACAAAACATCAGTATTTACTTCCCTGAGTTCTCCAGCCTCTATTTCTTTCTCCACAATAAAAACTGATGTGAAATATTAATTTAATATCTCTCCCGTCTCCTGAGGTTCAACACAAAGGCAACCCTTTGATCTTTAAGGGGCACTACTCTCTCTCTCTCGCTCTCTTGCTCTTCATGTATTTGTAGAATCTCCAGATTATCCTTAACCTTATTTGCCATGGCTGTCTCATATCCCCTCTATACCTTCCTGATCTCCCTCTTAAGAATGCTCCTACAATCTTTATGCTGTTCAAGAGATTCATGTGAACCCAGTTGTCTATACCTAATATATGTTTTTTTTTTTTAAATTCTTGACTAAAGCCAAAATATCTTTATTCATCCATTGTTCTCTAATCCTACCAGCCTTACCTTTCACTCTAACAGAAATGCAATGATTCTAATGAGTCCTAGCAATGCTACAAGATACTGATCTGGACGAGCCATTTGATATGGTGGCTAGAAGAGCAGGTAAGAGACTAGGAATCCTGCAGTAACTGACCTCCTGACTCTCCAAAGCCTGTCCACTATCTGCAATACTTGTGTCAGGAGTGTGATGCAGTACTCCACACTTGCCTGGATGAGTGCAGCTCCAACAACACTCCATAAGCTTGACACCATCTAGGACAGAGCAGCCTGCCCAGTTGGTACCACACTGACAAACATTTGCTCCCTCCACCACCATTGTTCAGGAGCAGTGGTGTGCACCATCTACAAGGTGCATTGCAAAAATTGACCAAGGCTCCTTAGGTGACATCTTCTAAATCTATGACCACTACCATCTAGAAGGACAAGGGCAGCAGATACATAAGAACACCACAATCTGCAAGCTTCCCTCCCAGCTACTACTCATCCAAATGGGGAGCTACATCACTGTTGCAGGGTCAAAATCCTGGAACATCCTCTGTAAGAGCATTATGGATGTACCTATGCTAAATAGATGCAGAGGTCCAAGAAGGCAACTCGCCACTGCCTTCTACGCAACCAGGGATGGACAATAAATACTGGCCCAGGTGGCAAGCCCCTTGCACCTTGAATGAACAAAAACAAATTGAATGGTTGATGAGACTCAAATGGACTATGTGCCATCCTTCTGCTCCTAATTCATATTTTCATGTGCTGTTATGTGCTCCACCAAAGAAGTTATAATTGCTGATTCTCTATTCAATTCCTTTGAATTAATGTATCCTTGAATACTATATCTGGTTGCTAAGTAACAAAGAATGTTTTCAAATGCTGGAGGAAATATAGAGATATGGAAATTATTCACACGAGAAAGACAGGCAAAACTTGGGCTTTTCAGTCAAGAAATAAAGGAACCAGAGCTTTTTAAAAAAGTTTTGCTACTGTTTCATTGAGGAATAGAGCAAAGATGTAGAAGCTGATTAAGAATCTGTCACAAATATTTATTGTCTAGTTTGTGAAGTTTCCCCCTTTGAAAACTTTAGGTTGCACAGAACCATGGGGAAGGCCAGGGAGGGGAGGTGCTGCCAGTGGCAAAGTGAATGAAGCTGACAAAGGAAACTGAGAAGGACATAGGAAGCAACAAAAGACTGTACAGAGCACAGACTTAAACTCTAAAGGTGGCAGCTATGGAGCAATAGCAGGAAAGTGAGGAATTAAATGACAGTCAGGAAATGGATAGAAATGATGCATAAATAACAGAGAAGTGATTAGACACGAATTGCAGAAGTCAACAGAAGGAGCAACATAGTAGACAGTGAGAGACATGTACACAACAGGGGAAATCGAGATTGGTAAATAAGATTTGTTGAATTACTTAATATCAACTAATAAAGTCATCTGTAATAACATTAAAAGAAAACTGGTGGTAACAGTAATTGTTCAGTAGCTATAGTTTAAAATCTTGATGTTGAACTTAAGTTGTCAGAAAATTCTGCAGGAAGTTGGAGCAATTCAAATCTTGCTTCATGATGGGGAGGTGCTGGTGTTGGACTGGGGTGGACAAGGTCAGGAATTGCATGACACCAGACCATAGTCCAACCGGTTTATTTGAAAACACAACCTTTCCGAGCGTAGCCCCTTCGTCACATGAAGGAGCTGTGCTCTGAAAACTTGTAGTTTTCAAGTAAACCTGTTGGACTATAACCTGGTGTTGTGTGATTTCTGATCTTGTTTCAGACAGATGGCAGTGTGGACCATAGCTTCACAGCACACCAGTATATCAAAGTTAAACCTCACCAGGTTAAACTTGGTGTGGCACTGAGTTGTACTCGCTGCAACCGTGGGGAAGCCCAGCGAGGGGCGAGGTGGGGGGAAGCTGGTGGTGGCGTGATCTTCCTGCAGATGCAAGATTTGAATGCTGTACATAAAAATTTAAATAGATTACTACAGAATTTCCTGTTGAATTTCTGAAGCGGAATCAGAGCATATGGTCTCTGATTTAACAGCTTTTGTTTCGTTCTCACCTCTGCGTTTGTCACGTTTTGCTTCTATCTTTGCTCCCTCTCTTCCTTTTGTCTTATGCTCTCCTTTTGCATGTAAAATGGGTAATGTCACATGGAAGGGAGTTGTTAAGGCTGCACTTCCCCTGTCTGTATCCATTGTCCATTATTTTGGATGAAACACTAAAACAAGGTCACATTTGAACTTTTTAGGTGTGTGTAAAAGATTCCAAGATGCAATTAGGGGAAAAGCGGAAACGTTTTCCCGAGTGCTGTGGCCACTCATCATCAGTATAAACCAGACAATCTGATCATTATCACATTTACTGTTTGTAGAACCTGACTATGTGCAAATTAGTTGTTGTATTTCACAATGCGTACACTCTAAAGTTACTTGATTGGCTGTAAAACACTTAGTGCCATCTGACTATTGTGAAATTTAATATAAATGCAAATTTTTTTTTTGTTGCTATCTGCTACAACCACATGACTGTTATAATCCTGTAAACCAAGTTGAAATGCTTCTTGTCCTAATGGGGGCGAAAGCAGTTGTATGGTTCCAATGTGGTTTGAGTTCAGGGCCATCTTAAAATCTTAATGTATGTGTACTGAAACACAAAAATAATCTAATTTTTCATTAAATGTTGGTCATGCTGAATAGTACCTGTGAAAAACTGCCCAGGGTGAACAGAATATGCTCTTGGAGTTCTAATAAAGGTTAAACTAAAGCAGAAGATCCTTGATGCACCTGGTCACCCCTTAAACGGCTCAAGGAGGGCTTGATTGGAGGATGCATACAGGTGATAAAGCAAAATGTTTCATTTCACTGAACTAGCACTTGTCAATCTAATCCACAAAAGTACAGCTGAAATCACTTAAAAACAATTCCTTTATCAGAGTGTGATTTTCGTCTTGCAGTGCAGGATTTCTTTTGAAACCAGCTGCTGGTTGATTTTACAATTCTACTGGATCCAATAAAAATCTAATTATTGACCATACGCTATGATGTACCCCTTCCTCACTGACTTTGAAAGGCACCGAAGCTGACGATCTTATAAAGACTCCCTTATTCATTGCACTTTCCCCATCCTACCAGGTCACATATTAAACTTGTTATTTTGTTCCTGTTCATTGTCTTTTGAGTTTATTTGAAGTAAAGCTGATATTTCTTCCCCCTCATATAGATGCAGTTTTGAATAAGTTTTAATGCGTACACAATCATTTTATCTCCCCCGCCCCCATCTTGCAGCATTCCCCCAGAACCCATGCCATTCATCATTTTAGTTCTTATATTTGTAATTTAATGCTAACTCTGTGTGCTTTTACAGACACTTCCACAGAGTGCCCCTGTATTGCTGTGGCTTCAAGGTGGCCCAGGAGGCTCATCATTGTTTGGGCTATTTGTTGAACATGGGCCATATGTTGTCACTAAAAATCTAACATGTAAGTATAGCTTTGATGTTATAAGGTAGATATTTTGACTCTGTCTCCCTAAATCTGACTGTTATTCTTCCTGTGAAGTGTGCCTCTTCTTTCCATAGGTGCTTTGAAGTGGCCATTCAAATATTTTTTTAAGAATCATTTGTTTGGACTTGTCAATTTATTTTGAATTATTGCTTCCTGTTGAAATGTGATATGCTAAGCTGAAATGCATTTGGGTTGCTAATTGATGAGAATTATGTATTTTTAATTGTGGTTCAGGAAGTGAGCAACGTTTTTTGAGAGAGCACTTGTTTTTCTGTTTGTACTTGATCCATGCACGAAAGTACACAGCAACATGATAGAATTTTATTTATGTTGAGGTTTAGATGGCTGAGGAATCGATTCTCACTTCCCTTCTCCAAATCTATTGTTGAGAAAATATCAATTATAACTGAGCTCGAAAGCAGTGTTGCTGGTGTTGAGACAGTAGTGTTTCTTTATTAATGGGTGTAATGCTATTTCAAATTCTTCCTTGTTTGTTAACTTAAGAGTGTAAAACTTATTTGTAACTGTAAATAGCTTAATACTGACTGTAATACATATCTAGCAATGCTCTATATTGTTCCGATTTGGGGAATTTTTGTTGCAGAAATGAGCCTAATCGTGTATGCTCCAGCTACATTTGTGATTCTTTATGAAAATCTTTCTTTTACAGTTGGAGATTGTCGCACGTGAAACATTTCTTTATTTCCAGATTGCTTCAGACATATTGGGATTGAAATTCATCAGGCGACCTGGCCTTTGCTGCTCTTTCTGTTCTTGCAAACCACTTTCTTCATGGGATTAGACAGACTTTACTTAACCATGGGCCTAGAATATGGTTCGACCAAAAGTGATAGGGTCAGAAGTAGGCCATTTCACTTATCAAATCTGTTCCACTGTTCTGAGATGAACAACTCCTGGCTACAAACGAAAAGCTCCTGGCTTGTAAAAATCAGCCAACATTGTGCATTTATGCTCTCAAACTTATATTTTTCCTTGTCAAGAAAATAAAAATTAAATTCAGATCGCATGTCCTCAAGTGTATTTTGGAGAGATGTTTAAAGAGAAGAAACTACCTTCAACAATTCAATGGCTGGCAAGCCAGCCAGCCGTTCTCATAAATAAATTTCGGATTGCTAATGCCAACTTGTACTTGTGCACAAGGATATATTGTGAAATTAAGACCATAAGACACAGGAGCAGAAGGAAGCTATTCAGCCCATCAAGTCTGTTCTGCCATTCAATTGATCATATAATCCTCAACTCCACTTTCCTACCTTTTCCCCATAACCCTTGATTCTCTTACTGATTAAACATACGTCCATCTTGGCCTTGAATATACTTAATGGCCTTACCTCGATAGCACTCTCTGGTAAAGAATTCCACAGATTCAGTACTCTCAGATTCCTCCTCATCTCTGCTTAAGTGGGTGACCCCTTACTCTTAGATTATACCCCATGGTTTAAGACCCTCCCACAAGCAGAAACAACTTATCCACACTTAGCATATCAAGCCTCCTAAGAATATTACAGGTTTCAATTAGGTCATTTACCATTCTTATAAACTTGAATCAGGACAGGCCCAATCTATTCAACCTCTCCACATCTGGAGTCCTGTGAGTGAAACTTCTCTGGACTGCCTCCAATGCCAGTATATCATTTCTTAGATAAAGAAATCACATTTGTCACAGTATTTGAATCTATAGAGATATAAACAGGTTAAATGAACATGCAAAAAGTTGGCGGATACAATGTAATGTGGAAAAATGAGGTTATGTATTTTGGCAGGAAAAATAGAGATGAAGAAGGGTCTAGGCCTGAAATGTCAGCCTTCCTGCTCCTCTGATGCTGCTTGGCCTGCTGTGTTCATCCAGCTGTACACCTTGTTATCCCTTATCATAGAAGAGATGAATGTTATTTAAATGGATAGAGACTGCAGAAAGCTACAACACAGAGGGATTTGGGAGTCCTCATCTGTAAATCATAAAAGGATAGCATACAAATTCAGCGGGTAATAGCGAAGGCAAATGGACTGTTGGCATTTATTTCAAAGGGAAGTATTGCTACAAGTATATAACCCACTAGTCAAACTGCCAAAATACGTAACCTCATATGTTTTACGCATTACATTGTATCTGCCAACTTTTTGCATGTTCATTTAACCTGTTTATATCCCTCTGCAGATTCTCCTCACAACTTGCCTTCCCATCTATTTTTGTGTTATCTGAAATCTTGGCTATAATACATTCATTTTTCTCATCCAAGCCATTAATACATGTTGTAATTAATTGTGGCCCAAGCACTGATCCCTGTGGCACACCACTAGCTACAGGTTGGCACCTGAAAATGCCCCTTTTGTCCCAACTCTTTCTCTTCTATGAAATAGCCAATCTTCTATCCATGTTGATATATTACCTCAATACTATGGGCTCTCAACTTATAAACTGCCTAATGTATGGCACCTTCTTAAACACCTTTTGGAAATCCAACTGTTTACATCTACGGATTCCCTTTTCATCTTTCCAGTTTATTACCACCTCGAAGAAATCTAATCTTTTCAGACAGAATTTCCTCTTCATGAAGCTGTGCTTGATTATGCCACGTATGTCTAAATGCTCTGCTATTACACCCTTTATAACATTTTTCCAGTGACAGATGTTAAACGAATTGATGTGTAGTTATCTGTATTTTGTCTCTTTTTTTTTTGAATCAGGGTGTTTGGCAGTTTTCCAATCCTCTGGAACTTTATCAGAATGTAAGGATTCTTGGAAGTTTAGAACAAGTGCATCCACTATCTCCTGTAGTTACTTCCTTTAAAATCTTGGGATGCAACCTATCCAGTCCAGGGAATTTATTAGCCATTTGTCCAATTAGGTTTCCTAGTACTTTTTCTCTAGAGATAGTTATCATATTTATTTCTTCCCCACCCTGTACTTTAACCCATAGATTATTTAGTATTTTTGAAATGCTGACATTGTAATGCTGGCATAACAGCCCATCACTGAATGCACAAATGGGTTCCCACCTTTAGTTCATGTCATAAATCCTCAACAGGATTCAGTCAAACCTTCATCTTAAAATGTAAAGAACTGATAATTTCATTAGCATTGACCAGCAATCGTTCAAGAAGAGATTTTGTCAAGTTTAAATTTTGAGTTTTGCTTTCTAATTTTAATATTTTCTTTTTACATATATGCTCAAATCTAGTGGAAGCACGAAAGGTACCATGGTCTTCGAAGTATTCAATGCTGTATATCGACAATCCCGTAAGTTTACTTAGTTTTGTAGTGTTATTTGCATTAAATATTTCTGACAGATTCCAGAACTACCAGGAGTTGTATGCCCAAGAAGTGGTCTTGTGAGAATGAAATTGTATTAAGATCTCTTTAAAACAAAGAGCAGTTGAAAGAAAATCACGTTTTGATTCTGAGGAGTTTTCTTGATTGATGAAGAGCTTAGGTTCTGTGTGCATCTGCACTCCACTTACTATCCACATTCTTCTTAATTCAAACTATGAAAACATTATCAGTGAATCTTTGGTTTACATCTCAAACTTGATGCCTTGACTTGCAGGCAGTAAAGGTTGCACATAGAACCATAGAATCCCTATAGTTTGAAAGCAGACCATTCAGTCCATGGAGTTTACACTGACACTACGAAGAATATCCCACCCAGATCTATCCCCTATCCTGTTCCTGTAATCCTGCATTTCCCATGGCTAATCCATCCAGCATGCACATGCCTGGACACTATATGGGCAATTTAGCATGGCCAGTCCACCTAACCTGCATATCTTTGAACTGCGGGAGGAAACTGGAACAAACTCCACATTGAGGGTGGAATTGAACCCAGGTCCCTGACACTGAGGCAGCAGTGCTAACCACTGAGCCACCATGTGAGTTACCTCCAGCCTTGGGCTCTCAGACTTGTGCTGTGACAACAAAATTAAACCCTTAGGTTTAGTCCCTCACAAGTAAAACATAGATCAGTTAAAATTGCATCTTGCTTTTAATTTATGATCCGTCTTACTAATGAATAAAAGAGCAAGGTGAAATCACTAATTTGACATGGGAGATACTAAAGCATTGGCTGTAAGTACCACTGTTGCAAGTAACCTCACTACCTCAAAGCCTGTCCACCGTCCTCGAGGCACAAGTCAGGAATGTGCTGAAACACTCCCCACTTGCCTGGATGAGTGCAGCTCTAACAACACTCAAGAAACTTGTCACTGTTGAGGTTAAAGCTCACTTGATCGGCACCACATCCACCAGCATAGTCGCTCCACCACCAATGCTTTTAAGTAGCGGTGTGTAGCATTTGCAAGATCCACTGCAGAATTAACCAAGACTCCTTAGCATCTTCCAGATCCATGAGCATCACCATCTGGAGGACAAGCGCAGCAGTTACATGGAAATGCCACCACCTACAAGTTCCCCTCCAAGTAACTCACCATCCTGACATGGAAATTTCTCAGAAACCTACCTCACTAGGTCAGAACTACCTCGCTAATGGCATTGTTGGTGTAGCTATTCCAAATTGACTGCTGCAGTTCAGGAAGCAGCTCACCACCATGTTGTCAAGGGCAGTTAGGGATAGGCAATAAATGCTGGCCCAGCCAGTGGTACCCATATCCCTCAATGAATTTAAAAGGAAATTTGCCGTGCATAATGGTCATGATCAATCAGGTTAAAATAAAAGAATTGAAAGTTTGTCTCACACTTGTACATACAAGATAGTTTTTAGCAGGCATTTGAGCAGACAGTTTCTTACTGGTAATTGGGTACAATGCATTCTTAAGAGCATGTGAATTGTGTAGTTGACGCCTTTGTGTGAATGTTATTAGTGGCACTCCAACAAGTATTTCTTTTTTTAAATGATAATGAAGTCGCATTTTTAAAAGGTTCCATTTATTATTGAAGCCATATTACATGATTTTTAAGTATATTAATAGAACAGTAAATCAGAAATGCTGGAGGCAGTTAAATCAGAAATGGAAATATACATAAATGTTGATCTAATCTCTTTCCAATAACATTGGTTTAACACATCTTTACTGCTGACTCAGTTTTCAATTTCTTTCTGCTGCTTAATGATTTGTGTCAAAAAGCAGTCCCAAGTATATTCCGAGATAACAAGGTGTAGAGCTGGATGAACACAGCAGGCCAAGCAGCATCAGAGGAGCAGGAAGGCTGAC